AGCGCGGTGGTTTGTCCATTGTTCGTTGTCTTCTCGTTCTCCTTGTTGTTGTCCTTCTCTTTCCGGGTGGGATGATCAATGCGAAAGGAACGCAGATGCTGGTTATTGCCTCGCTTCTGCTCCGCCACGGAGCTGTTGATGCCGGCGAGGGCGACGATGGCTTCGTCGTCGGCTTGGACGGCGGCGAGAGAAGTGACTGAGTCCTCATCGCGCGACAAGTTGATGTCGACAACTTCGGAGATTTCGGAGCGCTTGGAGGTATTCAAGAGGGCCTGAGAGATTGACGTGTTAGCATGGAGCTGCACAAGTATCATGTCGCTCAGGAGGAACTTGCGATTTTGTTGCCGACACCACTACGGCCTTCACCACCTCCTCCACCGACCAGTAGCAAGCCGTGATGACGCGGGTCGAAGTCGGCGGCGAAGAGCGGGCATGAGAGAGTCAGTTTGGCCGAGGGAATGGAGGGAGCCATGTTGGGCGGGTGGGATCCCGGGGGATGGATCGAGTTCAATCCCCGAAAGATGTAATTATTATCCGGATGGCACGGGAAAGAGATAGATTGTAGGAGGGGGAGAGTTGCAGAAGGAGAAGAGAAGGAGAGAAGAAGCGAAGAAGAAGCCAGAATGACGAAGCGGAGAGCATGTCGATCTCTTGGCGATCGGCCGAGGCTCGAATCGATCCCCATCGTTACTTTTTACTGCCAGCAACTTCTATTATTGATAGATCTTCTTACTATTCATGCAATCAATGAATTGAATATGGTCTAGGGCCATTCTTCAGCCCTTCTAAATAGACAGCGTTCTTTTGATTTAAATTAGACAAATTCTCTCTTCATCTACTCAACCTCCTGGCCAGTGAACTCGGGCAGGCGCTTGCGCACATCCTCCCAAGTCTCCTCACCCTCCACCAGGGACTTGATCGCCTGGGCAATCTCATCCTCGCTGGCACGAACCTGCTTGGTCGAGTCACGGTCACGCAGGGTGAAAGTGTTGTCCTTGACAGACTGGAAGTCGACCGTCACACCGAACGGCGTACCCAGCTCGTCGTTGCGCGCGTAGCGCTTACCGATACTGGCGGAAGAGTCATCAACACGGTTGGACACTCCCATGCGACGCAGCTTAGTCGTCAGGCGCTGCACCAGCGGCGCGAACGACTGGTGCGTCGACAGCGGCACGATCAGCACCTTGGTCGGCGCAATCGCGGGAGGGAAGGACAGGACCTAGCAATTCATCCATTAGCATCACAAATCAACCATAGTAAAAACAAGATCGAAAGAGGGAAGGAAACTTACACCACGGGCCTCATCACCCTCACGGGACCAGTAGACCTGCTCGATCATGCTGTACAGGATACGACCAATACCGAACGAGGGCTCAATGACATTAGGAGTGTACTCGCGCACATTCTCCACGCGCGTGCGCTTCTCGATCTTGATCAACTCCTTGTCCAGCTCAACCTTGCCGCCAGCGACACCCTCAACTTCCACCTCGATCTTGCCGGTCTGCTCGAGGTCGAGCGACAGCTTCTCGCGCAGCTCCTGCGACAGAGCATCAATCGCCGCCGTGACGGTCTTGCCGTCCTTCTTGAAGCGGGGACCGAACTTCTTCTTGTCCAGGTCAATCTGCCACTCCTCCACCTTGAGGGGCTCCGCCCGAGTCTCACGGACAACGAGCGGGGCGCCGGTCTTGTTCTTGTGCACGGTCAAATCGTAGGCACTGCGGTCAGCGCAGCCCACACACTCGATCCAGCCGTAGCTGGTCTGCAGCTCGGCATCCCAGCAGTCGGTGGCGTAGTGGGCCATCTCGTTAGCCATGTGCTGGCGGAAGCGCAGCTTCTTGGGGTCCACACCCAGCTTGAGCAGGAACAGCTGGATACGAGCCAGGAAGTAACCCAGGGTCTCGTTGTCGACGAGGCCAGTCTCGACGGCCTTGCCGATGGTCATCTCCTCGGTCTTGGTGCTACCGGACAGCTGGATGTCGCGGTTGAGCAGGGTCATCTTGACGTCCTTGACCTCCTCGAAGCGGGCGTGCTTCTTGCCACCCTGGGGGTCGACAAAGTGCTCGATCTCAGCCATCAGGAACTCACGCACCCGCAGCAGACCGGCGCGCGGGGAGATCTCGTTCCGGAACGACTTGCCGATGGAGGCGGAGGCGAAGGGCATAGACTGCTGGTTGAACTCGAGCAGCTTCTGGAAGTTGAGGAACTGACCCTGAGCGGTCTCCGGGCGCAGGTAGCCGGGCATGTTGCTGCTGGGGCCGATCGAGGTCTGGAACATCAGGTTGAAGGCCACGGGGGGCAGGAGGTTGCCATCGGTGGTGGGGTTGCGGATGTCGTACTTGGCGATGATCTTCTCGAGTTCGGGGCCGTCGAAGTTGTCGATCTGGGCGAGGGTCTCCTCGTACTCCTTGACAACGGCGTCATCCAGCTTAACCGCCTTGGTCTGCTTGACCTTCTTCTTCTTCTTGGCCTCCTTCTCCTCGTCCACCTCAACCTTTTGGCCACGGGCCTCCTTGTCACCCTTCAGGCGGGCCTCGAGCACCTCCTCGACCAGGTGGTCGGCGCGGAAGATCTCGCCGGTCTTGGGGTCCTTGCACATCCAGTCGGCGAACTTGTCGACGTGACCACTGGTCTTCAGGATCTCGTGCGGGGTGAGCATGGTGCAGTCGACCTCGAGCATGTCCTCCTCCAGGACGAAGTGCTTGCGCCACAGATCGACAATGTTGTTCAGGACGGCGCAGCCGGGCGGGCCATAGTCGTAGAGGCCGGAGACACCACCGTAGATCTCGAAGGAAGGGGTATAGAAGAGACGGCGGCGCAGCATAGAGTCCAAGACGGACCGGTCGACGACCTGGCCGGTCTTGGTGGAGAGGGAAGCCATTTTGGTGGACTTCTTTTTGGAGGACGGCTGAGGGAGATGATGTCGCGTACGAGGGAGGGAGGTGGAAAAGGAACGGGGAGAAAGAATAAAGGAGGAGGAAGAGGAGCTGGCGCAAGTGGGGGGAAGACGAAAAGCCAGAAGTTGGCGATGAAGAAGACGATTGGGATGGCGGGGACAAAAAGACCGAAAAGAGGGACCCAATGCCCGCCGACACCTCAGGCCGCCCAGCCGCTGAGCGCTGCTGCAGTGACTCATCCGCCTGCCCTTTTGCTCAACTCTCCACCAATCCACAAGTTTGCCGTCGATAAGGAATGCGGAGACAAGGGACTTATGCGGGGCTGTAATAGCCTTGATTCTCTTCCGGCGAATTACCCTCCTTCTTCCGCCAAATAATCACGAAAAGGAATCCGATTCCTGGCCGATCGCGAGAAAGCTGAACTTCCCTTCATTTCCCAATCGAGCCGCGCCCTGGCTGACTCAGCAGGACTTTTCTCACCGCCGGATGAACACTTGATCCGCCAGATTTTTTTGGATAGCCCAAACGGGTAATCCAATATTGATATCTTCATTTGCTTCGACTCAACTACTTCCTACCCCTCCATCGTTCACCACGATTCCAGCAAACGATGGTTTCGAAGAAAGCTTCCCACCGGCCGCCTCCGGGCGTTGGCCTCGACGCAAAGCCCCGCAACAAGATCCAGCGCAAACTCCTCCATATCAAGCGCAAGCGCGCCAAGGACTCTACTCGCCGTGCCGAACGATATGCTTTCAAGAAGGAAGAGGCCAAGAACCCCAAGCTGAAGGAGGAGCGTCTGAAGCGCAACATTCCCCTGACTATCGACCGCAAGCGAGTCTGGGATGACGCCGGCAGCGACGTCGAGGACGGTCTGGGACTGAGCGTGGACGTTGAGCGCATCAAGCGGCGCAAGCAAGAGGAAGAAGAAGAGCTGAACCGGCCCCTGAACGAGGACGAGCAATCCTCCGACGCCGAAGAAGAAGGATCAGAGGATGACGAGGACGACGACGTGGACAGCATGCTCGCCAGCAGTGACGAGGAAGACGAAGACGCCTCGGACGACGACGAAGACTCAGACTCAGACTCGGGCAAGAAGAAATCGAAATCCTCCTCCGACTCGACTCGCGGCCGCAGCAAATCATCCCTCCCCACAGCCACAGAGCGCGCCACCAGCCCCTCCCAATCGACCAAGAGCACCAACCTAAATCTCGTCCCCGAAGCCCTCGCGTCCAAATTCCCCTCCCTCTTCAGCACCGAGAACCCCAAATCCCCTAAGATCCTCATCACGACGTCCCTCAACTCGTCTCTCCACCACGAAGCCGAGCTCCTCACCGACCTGTTCCCCAACTCCGTTTACGTCCGCCGCACGCGCCACCGCTTCGCGCACCAGTTCTCCATCCGCGAGATCTCCAAGTTCGCCACGAACCGCAACTTCACGGCGGTGGTGATCCTCCGCGAAGACCAGAAGAAGCCCGCCGGTCTGGACATCGTGCATCTCCCCACGGGACCCATGTTCCACTTCTCCATGACGAACTGGGTCGAGGGCAAGCGCATCCCGGGTCACGGACGCGCTACGGACCACTGGCCCGAGCTGATTCTGAATAACTTCCGCACGCCGCTGGGTCTGTTGACGGCGCATTTGTTCCGGACGTTGTTCCCGCCGCAGCCTGATATTGAGGGCCGGCAGGTCGTGACGGTGCTCAATAGTCGTGATTATTTGTTCTTCCGTCGTCATCGTTATGTGTTCCGGGAGAAGAGGGAGACGGAGAAGGCGGTTGTGGGTGCCGATGGAAAGGAGATGAAGGGGGCAGAGGGAATTAGAGCGGGTATGCAGGAGTTGGGACCCCGGTTTACGTTGAAGTTGCGCAGAGTTGATAAGGGGATCCAGAGAGCTAGTGGACAGGAGTGGGAGTGGAAGGGACAAATGGAGAAGACGAGGACGAAGTTCCAGTTGTAGTTTATCCTTTGCTTCTTACTTGGTTGATAGCTGCCCGCTATTGTCTTTGTTTTGTTGTTCTGTCTAGCCTGTTGATGTTGTGCTCGACTGCATTGGGTTCGGGGCGTTAGGATAAAAAAGGTCTCTTCTGTTTGTTTCACTTGCTTTCTATTGTTGTATGTACGTTGGAGATATCACATCTATATGGACTGTGCGAGAGAATAGATACATAAATGTCCTAACTGTCTCCCTTGGAGGTTATATCTTCAAGATAAAGCCTGATCAAAGTCCATACCGATCCACGGTATGGTATAAGTGATAATAAAAATCATAATCATAAGGTCATCAACAGAACAAGAAGAAAGAAATAGATATCCACATATCTGCTCACGTCAACGGCTTCCGCCCCGTCACGATCTTCACCCTCGCACTAATGCGATACACGCCTTGCAAGATTTCCGCACGCACCTGGTCACATAGTTCGCGCACTTCCTCCGCCACCCAGCCATACGTTGTGGTCAGGGCACGCAAACTATATGATTCCAGGCCCTCCAATAAGGCAATGAGGCCCATCTTGCCGACGGTTCGGTCATGCGGCGACTCGGGCCACAGACCGATGGGGAACGTGTACTCGCGGACATCGATATCGATGAACCCCTGGGCACGGAAGAGCGCGGGCTGGAGATGGCTCAGATCGCGCAGGTAACCTGCCGAGTAGTCTGCGGAGCGAAGGGCGGAGGCAAAGAGACGTAGGTAGGAGTTCGGCGGGAGGGAAATCATGGTTTCAGCGGCGAAGTCGGTATCTGCGACTTCGAGGTAGCCGCCGGGAGCGAGGTGGTCAAAGGCTTGCTGGTAGATGAAGGACCAGTTGGGAAAGGCACCGGAGAGGCCGCGGAGGTGGATGAGGTCGAAGGGGATGTCGTAGGCCCATTCGTCGCGGGCGTCGTCGAGGTGGAAGGAGAGGTTGGGGAGGTCGACATGGCCGAGGGCGTTGTCGAAGACGCCGATGTCAGAAGCAATGATAGTGCCGTGAGGGTAGGCGTGGCTCATTTCAATGGCCCAGTCACCGGGACCGGTGCCGATGTCGAGGACGCGAGGCGCATTGGTGACTATGGGGGCGGCGGTTAGATGACCGTCTAGGAGGATGAGGTAGATCTGGTGGACGATGTTCAGACGGGTTCGTTCGGGTTCATCGTTGGGCATGTGGTATGAATCGTTGGGGTAGCGACGGTTATTCTCTTCGTAGATGTCGAGCTGGTGTGTCTCGTATGAATTGCTGGTGGTGGTGGTGGTGTATGGTTAGCAACTCCACTGGGGGTTGGCATTGCAGGATACCAAGAAAGGCATTGCATACATGGATGCTTCGTCCGAGTCTGCATCTGACTCGGAGTTGGACTCGGGATCCGGAGGAGGCTTGGTCCATGATTGCTTCTGCGCCTTCTCACTCTCGTCGGGCTCGACGATTGGCTCGTTTTGGCCCAACGGCTGGAGATCTTTTGCCTCCATGACATGACGAAGTTGAGAGGGGTGTTCGGTGAAGGGTACGACGTGCTCAGGTTTATAGAGAAGCTTCTCTTGAAGACAGAGGCCAACGTCAGGCCCGATCAAGCTTAGGGCAGCACTTTCTGTAGCAACTCTCAAGGTGCAACCACAATCAGGATCATACGAGGCCGTCAAACATGTGCCACGAGGGCTAATAGCGAGCTTCACTGACACGTAGGAGGTGAATAGTTCATCGTTTCTGTTCCAGCCCAAGACCACAGGGAGGAAGAAAAAAAAGCAAAGATGGCGGAAGATGCCGAGAATGACGCAGTTGGTCCAAGTGGTGCTGAAGCACAAACACGGAGATTTCTCAACGGCTTGGGGAGCACGAGAAATTGGACGACGGACCCCGGATGGTCGGATTATAGTACATTGGCTGGCCTAGTAAGAGGACTCGACCAGGTGGGCTGTGAACAGTGAGGGAGAGGAAGAGTAAAAAGCCGGAGAAAAGAATGGAAAGATGGCATAGAAGCTATGCCAGCTTAGAAGGGCAGTTGATCAGCACCGAGGCCGTGATAGACGAACGACCCTAGGCCGCTGGACTAGTTCGTGCACCGCGCATGCTGAGAGGCCGAGAGAAGTCTCTAGACCCATCGATGCAGAGGCAGACTGGAAGGCCCCGTTCTGATCGACGGGAACGGGCCAGTTTCTGGGAAACCAACTGCAGTGCGACTAGGCAAAGCACACGAGACGCCATGCAGCCAGCGGTCCTTTCATTTCCCCGTTTTGTGGCAGCCGGGGGGTGGTCGTTCCCTAGTCCTGGGTCGATTTTGGCCCGATCGTCTGGCTTAGTCTGGGAGTGTCGGGGCAAGAGACGAGACGCTTAGGCTGATAGGCTAGAGGGACAGTTCGGGCGGTCATCTTGTAGTTGTTGTAGCCTTGTGAGTTCTGTTTTTAGTGCAGTGTGGCGTCTGGCACAGCCTGACGCTGAGGCTGCAGGGACAAGGGTATGTATGGTATTTGGTTGAGCATTTCTCCACATGAGATCCATAAGTTGCAGCTTTGCTATTAGTTAATTACTAACAGTTCGATTTGTGAGTCAGAAAGTGAGTCAACTCAGCGGAATGAGCATGCGAGTAAGTCGGGTGGTCCTGTTGATAGAGGTAAGAAGGAAGTATACAGTTCCTGCGATGATGAAATGAGTAGCAGTCAGTATAGTATAAGAAAGCACCACAAACCCACACCAGTAAAATGATGACCTCAGAAATAAACCATCACATCCACACTAGAAATATATGCCATGGAGACCAATCCATCCCAATCAAGTGGAAACAGCAAAGCAAAGCGAAACAAAAGCAAGTTCCCGTCGATGCATGAAGCAGTAGGGCTGCGCAGCACCCAAACCACGGAACAGGAACAGGAACAAGAACATCATCACCACCACCACCACCACCACCACCAACAACCATCCGCAAAATCCACCACCACCACCACCACCACTATCATCCCCAACCACAACCCCGACACCACATCCACACCCTCAATGACCGCCCCTCCCCCCCTCAAAACCCCCCGCCGCTTCCTCTTCATCGCCTCAATCGGCAATCCACGCCCATACCGCACGACGCGACACAGCGCCGGTCACATCCTCCTCGAAGCCCTGACGCCACTTCTCCCACGCCGAGTCCCTCTCGTGGGCACCTCTCCCAACAATGGCAACATAATCAACCCACTATTCTACAAAACCTACACCAGTCCATCATACATGAACGAATCGGGTCCTAAACTGCTCCGCAACTTCCAATCGTGGCTTTCATCCACCCAGACAGAAATATACCAGAAGATCGTGCAGCCGGGGAATGTACTCTCCACAGACCCTACATCAGGCGCTACAGCAGCCGCAGAATGGCATCTCCGGGGCGCTGACCCGACAACCCTCCGAAACTTCTCCCCGACACTAGTCATCCTACATGATGAATTGGAGGCGCCGTTGGGGAAAGTCCGGGTGAAGAGAGGCGGGCCTGAGAAGGCGAGTTTGAGGGGACATCGGGGATTGATTAGTTCGTTTGAGAGTTTGAGGGGCAAGGGGATGTATCCTCCCAATCCGAAGAAGAATGTACTTGGGGCCGGGGTGGATTTGTCGGTCTTGAGGATTGGGGTGGGGATTGGAAGGCCCGAGACGAGGGATCGAGGGGGTGTTGCGAAGTATGTTCTCTCTGAGATGAGTGAGCAGGAGTTGAAGGCTGTGAGGGCTGCCGCGGGACCGGTTTTGGAGGTATTGGTGGATGAGTTGTATAGGGATGGTGCGGAGTGATTCTTTGGGGGGGTCTTTTGGTGCTTATGGCAGTTGTATGATATTGTTACTTATTGTGTAATTATAGATAGATCAGATAGAGGTGGTTTAGAGATACCCATATATTATTAGACTTGCTTTTTCCCTCTGCAGTCTACGCTTTCATCTACGTGCATATGGACCCGACTGAAAAATATTCCCAAAGAAATAGTGTTAACAATAATACCAAGGCTTGGATGCAGAATGATTAAAGCGGCTATCATCGCACGCAGCTTAAAAGAAACAGACAAGCAAAGAATTGAACTCCACTCCAAAGTATCACAAACGAACAGGCTATCAGACCGTGCCTGCTATGCTCAAATCCCGAATCTCCTGCAACACCTCTTCCACCCGGTTGTCCAGGTCTCCCCGAGCATACTGATCCCTCGTCTCCGCATCCAAGTACTGTTGCACCTGCGCCATGCGCGAGTATGCCTCCGCGCAGAACCGCAGTTGAATCTTCACCAGGGCCTCGAAGCTAGGATCCAGGTACGGCACTCGCAGGTCGATGAGCTGGGGCAGTTCTGTGAAGAGCTGTTCGTTCAACTGCTCATACGCTTGCTTGGCGATTTCCGTCTCGCGCTCCGTCCGGGGCAGTTTCGTCGCATCCTTATCGGGCTTCTCAACCAGCTTCTTGACCTTGGCGCGCATCGAATCGTAATCGAGTAACTTGTGGTTGCGCTTCTTGATGCACTCGTTGATATCCGGGAAGTAGGCACAGAACCGAGAGATGGGTTCCAACACAGTCGAGCTATAAAATACCAGTCAACCAATGAGTCGCCATGCCCAAAAGGGCGTCCATAGCAATGACTCCAAAACGTACCGGTACGGACCGTCCAGCGCCTTGATCGTTTCCGCATCCAGATCCTCCACAGCCTGCTTATAACTCCGACTCACTCCGTCGTTGGTTCCAGCATCACCATAGAAGGCATCAATAGTCTCAGCGATCCGCATCTGCGAGGCAGTCATAGCTATCCAGCACCGTCCAACGTCAGCATCCGCCTCCGCATCATATTTAATATAGCGACCGGAGTATCAAAACACACCTCGTAGCGAATCCAAGTATCCCTTTGCCTCTTTCTGTAACCGATTTGCGGCGGCTTCCATCGTCCGGTACCGACTATATCGCATCGTGTCCATGTCAGTCAAACAAGTTGCCTCCCCTTTCCAATCAGTCGGACAATCCATACCGCTCTTCAATTTCATAATCGCGATCACTTGTGCGCTCCACATGTCCTGTTTAACCCAAACCAATGCGTCAGTATATTCCTTGCAATACCACCAAGCAATATGTCGTAGAGGTATTCGTCCCCGACTCGAGCGGGGTTGTGATCCAACATACCCGTCTTCATCATCACCTGCGTGGTAGCGCGGTTGACATTTTTCTTGAACCCTGTAGACCCGGTCAGAATGACAATTCAGGTAGGGATGGGTGCCTATACGGCGCAGGATCCATCGGTAGGTAGGAACGGGGAGTATTCAGCGCACCTGCCCAGGACATGATGGCGACTTCAGTAGCGGTCGGTCGGGGGGGTCCGGTAACCAGTTAGGGGGTGGGGTGTGTATGTTCGAAATCAAAGAACCGGTAACTCCGTAGGTGGAGGACAAAGTGGGTTACTGGATATAGTAGACGTATAATGTGAGGAGAGGGGGGGAGGAGAATAGACACAGGGTTGATTGAATGAATGCGAAAGGCCCTCAGAAAGCAAGATGCCCGATGCGGGACGGAATGATGTTCGGAGACGTTCGATTGATTGATTGATTGATTGGCGTGGCTGTGGCTGTGCACTTTTCTGCCTGGATCCCGTGGCTGTGTCGTGATTAGTATTTACTAAATCTTACTGTTCGGTTGTTTAACTTACAGCCCTACGAACTGGAAAGTGTAAAATTACCCGCAAGAATTTACGAAACAGCCGTTTTGAACTTCCGACTGCCGGTTCTGCTCGTTTCTGACGTCATAAGGCCGGCCCCTCCTCTCCGTGTAATTAATGGAATCTGGCAGCCTGCAATCCGAGACTTCTCCAGACAGATGGGGATGGTGATGTCAAAGAGGAAGGGGGTGGGTTTGGTTTGCCTTGTGCCTGAGTATGACTTTGGATGTAGCTGGAGACGTCATGATGCCAGCCAGATCGAGTGACCATCATGATGTGACACAAGATACATCGGAGTTTCGATGTCCTGTTGCCCTATGAGGCAATCAGAATGTATCCTACACCATCTTCATGCCGCATAATGCACTTCATGCGATGGCATTAAACTTCATGTAATAGTGTAGCATTTATCTGGAGTGCATTCGAGATTCTGTCAAGTGACAGTAAAGGTTGTAAGCGAAAGTATGGGGTACATGCAACCCTGATCTCGATGTTTGTGGTCGCACAAACATTCTTCACGCTTCCAATACCCCTTAGGCAAGCGCACACTATACAAAATCACCTGCAGCTCGATGCTTCTTATGCCGCGGCTATAGTATACTAGGATGAGCATCTTCTTCATGCGAAGCAATCCGTGTTTATCCGCGTTTGTCGGGATCCGTCCTCTAAAGACCGCTAAAGTGTACCAGTGACGGGGCAAGTCTAGTATTCCTCACTCCAGCATTCCTGAAGATAGTGGATTAATTAATATACCGAAGGGATCAATCCTCTTGCAAAACACATTTAGCAGCAACTTCAATGGACCAACCGGCACTTGAAGATTCAAAAGGTAGGCGCTGATGGTAATAAGGACGAGGGCACTAAATTGACTTCGCAATGAGAGACAATTTGCCAAGTATAATCGACATCGGCACCTCCCTTAGTTTGGGATCCAGACACAAATCCTACTCAATGAGGCTAGTAAGGCCAGCCTTGCATGGCTGACATCCACCTGTTTTCCAATCGGCCTTCAGGTGGGTGTTCCTTACCTTCAGGGTCGTGGTTGTTGGCGGCCCTGGATTGCCCATAATTAGTCTCGGCTTAGGTAAAAAATGGTGCTGCCTGTCCGGGTTGCACGACGTGATCCTTCTGGGCGAGGACAACTGCATAGGGCTGGCCAGACTGCCGAGGGCGGCATTCCACAACGGGATCGGGCAGTGGCTCGAACAAAGGGGGATGAATCATGCATGCTTGTGTTGGGAAGACGGTCAGGAAAATTAGTAATGATACATAATAGAAAGGGAA